CACCCTTATTCCCTGTTTGAAGGTAGGCACTATTATTTGAGAAAGGGTGGTTAAATTCTACCTTTAAAAAGACGTAGTGCTGTTTCTAATTGATAACGCTGAAACATTGGTAAACTTTAACCATAAAGTTCTCATGCATCCCGTTAATGCGGCATTTGTTATTTTATTCGAATGTTGATAACGACCAACTGATATATCCTGGTTTATTGACACAGTGATCAATAATTGAATATCACATAATAAGTATTCGTTCCGTCCACTAATGACCTCTTATTTTACCTTGTGCTAATAAAATATTTAATAGTGTTTGAACAGAGATGGTTTTTGAATATATAACCTCAAATGGTTTTTGACAAGAGTCTGAAAGAACCCGACATCCTTACAGACTGTACATTTTCTGAAATAGAATTCCGTTGAACATTTGTTCTTACTGATTAAAATGAAATGTTTTCTGCTGTTTTATTCGTGTTTACGTCGCCGTGCAGATGTACTTGAAATTGCAGTTTGGCTTGCAGATTCAGGAGCTAAATTTAAGTTCTTTGAAGTTTCGGCCAGATTGGCTTTAATGAATAAGAAAGTTAGTGTTAACAGCGTTCCTCCTCTACGCGTTTGCATGCTTTTGTTATCAGGAATTGCGTAGCTGGCTGATCGGTGGGCATGGCTTCAGCCAATAGCATTTCATTTACCTAAACTGTCGTGTTCTGTTTTACAAATTATGTTTTTCGTTGTCAGTATTCACGCGTTTCGAACTTTCTGCAGGATTCAGTTCGCTAAGTCTCTTCTGCTCTGCTTGAACTTCATTCGACGAGACCACGTAGCTTTACCCCACACATTTTATCATTTCAAAGGAACAACTAAGGTCAGTTAAAATTATGAAAAGGGACCCTCAGAAGGTTTCATTAGGACAGGAAGCATCATCGAAGCATTACGTTGAAAATTGAAACGTCTGCTCTCTTCCTAGAAAGGAATGTAAGTCAGCAAAATACTGCTACTGAATATGGTGGAAATATCTTCTATTAAAAATTGCAGTTTCAGAGTTTTGACCTCATCCAGCTATGGAATTTTTTGGCTCTGAATTTTTGACCGTATCGGCACACAAATGGAAAGAGTACTTGTCATTGTACAGCCGACAGTGCTATTAAATGTATTC